GGAGACTTGGGAGATGTGTAAATATATAGAAATTGTGTGATTTGTCTGTTAATGTCTTTAAATTTATAGTCAAGAAAGTGTTTCAACTATATGAACCGTATGGTATCAAGAATAAATGGATCTAATTTTAAATTAGAGACCGTTAGTGCGTTTGAAAAAAAAAGATGACCGGGGGAAAAAAAAAAGGATAATATATCACATAAATTTATAAATTTTTAAGAATTTAATATTTTATTTTATTTTATTATTTTGAGCACGATTTGACCGACTAAACTCACGATCCCATTTATGAGGAAAGAGCAAGATTTTGAAAAAAGATGACCGTTGGAAAGAAAGATGGAAGGAGTGAGCATTATAAATATATATAATTAAAGTAATTATTAAACCATATTAAGGGCCCGTTTGGGGCATCTTATAAATGCGGGGGTGTTTTTGAAAACGTCATGGTACATTTTGGATCGCTCGCTTTACTCGCTTATCTGAAAACGCAGTTTCATTTTTACACTAAACGCAGGTAGCGGATCGAACCCTGCAGTCAATCCACTGCCCTCATTTCAGAATAAAATGCACAAACTCCCCCTAAATATATTACCCTAAATGTATTCGCCTCTTCGAAATTAACTTCGATTATTTAAAGCGCGGAAAGCAAAAATATCCAACAACGACAGAACTTTATCAGCTTATTTTATTATTTTTTTTCATTTTCTTAGTTGATATAAATTAAAAGAATTATTGGGCATGTTCTTGGCTCTGTGCGCTCTGCAACCGTTGTCACGAGGCCTCACGTGGTGGGCCGCACCAACGGGCTGTAAAGCCTTGTAATCCTCAAATCAAACGCTCTGCACCAAGAGACGGCTGTGATTCGATTCTCAAAAAGACGAATTATCGAGAGGAATAGCTTCATAATAAATGGAATTTAGTGGAGGAAGAGTTAAAGAAATTTAATTAGGAGCTCAAAATCCGCCAATCGATGTGTGTTTCATCTAAAATTTAATCTTTTACATGGCCTTTCATTAAATTATTAAAAAACTATTTTTTAATATATTATATATAATATTATAATTAATTTCTTATCAAGACACTCAAATATTCAAAAAATTATAAAGGATTAAGGGGGTTATTTTAAATAGTTCTATAGTGTTAAGAACTTTGTTATAAGTAATCAAAATTTCATCACAAAAAAGTTTAATATAAATAGATTCTTATTTCACATTTAAAGGGATCTTGAATTGATGTACCTCAGAAATTGGAAGAATTTTAAGGCCATGATTGTCAATTCACAGCGGTAGCAATGGCCAAAGTTCATTATTGAATGATGTCTATAGTTGAACCAATATTACTCGATCAATATCATCTAATTGCAATCATCAACTTGTTTGATCATCATCATCATCCAATCATTATAATTCGGTTGTTATCTCTTGATCACCGTTGCTAATTACGGACATTAGCTTTAAACTGTCCCCACTATTGACATCCATAATCCGCTCTACCAACCACAACCTCTATTTCTCATCTATATATTCTTCCAATAAATTGTAAGAAGTCATTTTGAAGATATATACTTAACAAACATATCTTCCAACTAGGGCTATCAAATTGGCTCTTCGTTCGTGAACAGCTAGTGTTCGGCTCGTGTTTGGCTCAAATTGGCCCAAAAATAAATAAATAAATAAATAAATAAATAAATATATATAT